GTGAACCGCTCAGAGTACCGAGAAATCCTTACCAACTTTGTTCATCCATTGAGAGAACCTCGGTGGGTGTACAGAGTTCCCACACCTGGGCCTAGATGTTAAAACCGATCCCGTGACCACTTTCTCTGAGATCGGGAGGGCTCGTATAAGTGTGTGACATAACCAGGTGAAGAGGTCTGGATGGAGACATAGTCGGTTATGAGCAGACCATTCTGTTGAGGGGCTTGGCCCGGCGCTGGAGGCCCTTCCACGTCCTCCCCTCCCTTTGTGCGCCATCTACAAATGCAGCGAGCCCCCCCAGTCTAACACTCTTACAAAGCTAGGCTACTCCTCCTCCCTGCCCGTGCCCGACACGCCCACTGCTTCATCTCCCTCTAAGCCCTTCCTGTCCCTGGATGCCCTTCCCCTCCTCTCCACAAGCCCCTTGCTCTCCAGGGCCTCACCCATGTCTCCCCTCCTCCAGGAAGTCTTTCCTGACTGCATGGCCAGCTGGGATCACTCCCAGCAAGAATTGCCCACTTAGCCCTACAATTTCCTTTTCTGGGTTTAGTTCTCTGTCTCCCTTAACAGATGACAAACCCAGGGCGGCACTAATCACCTCACTGTGGTCACAGAGTAAGGTGCTCAGTGTTTGGAAATGATAATAATACAAAACTAGATGCAACGGGAGGTGATAAGGTTGGAATAGGAGGAAAACGGGCTCGCTTCGTGCCTCTAAGTTAACTACCAGACATTTATCGAACACCTATTTTGGGCAGAGTTTCGAGGGAGAGTTGGGATGGACCATGGAAAAGGAATCCACACCCTGCTTTCTTTCCCAACCCGGAAACTCTTTTTTTTTTTTTTTTTTAACATCTTTATTGGAGTATAATTGCTTTACAATGGTGTGTTAGTTTCTGCTTTATAACAAAGTGAATCAGTTATACATATACATATATCCCCACATCTCTTCCCTCTTGTGTCTCCCTCCCTCCCACCCTCCCTATCCCACCCATCAAGGTGGTCACAAAGCACCGAGCTGATCTCCCTGTGCTATGCGGCTGCTTCCCACCAGCTATCTCTTTTACATTTGGTAGTGTATATATGTCCATGCCACTCTCTCACTTTGTCCCAGCTTACCCTTCCCCCTCCCCGTGTCCTCAAGTCCACTCTTAGTAAACCCGGAAACTCTTCAAACCGTGTTGTTTAGGGTTTTCATGGAGGTTTCTTTACATAGGCATGGTTGATGAAATCATTGGCCATTGGTGGTTGAGCTCAATCTCCAGCATCTCTCCTCTCCTTGGAGGTGGGGGGAAAATGGGGAAGGGAATGTGAGGGGGTTGGGCGTGGGGCTGCAATTTCCAGCCCCCTTTAATCACATGGTTGGTTCCTCTGGGAACCAGCCCCCCCTCCTCCAAGAGTCACCTCATTAGTATAAACTCAGATAGAGTGAAAACGGCTTATTATGAGAACAAAAGATACTCCTGTCACCCCCAATCAGTCAGGAAATTCCAAGAGTTTTAGGAGGAGCAAAGGCTAAATTCAGATTTCTTTTCATATCACAATGTCACAGTATATACCACATTTTGTTTATCTACTCACCCACTGACGGACATTTGGGTTGTTTCTGCCTTTTTTACCACTGTAAATAATGCTGCTACAAACATTTGTATACAGGTTTTCCTCTGAGTACCTGCTTTCAGTTCTTTGGGGTACATAACCAAGGAGTGGAATTGCTGGGTTGTGCGGTAATTCGGTGTTTGACCTATAAGGACCTCCAGGCTGATGTGTCCCTGCAGGATGCTTTCCTCGGGCAGCCTTAATGAACCTGGAGGCCCTTTCCTTCCCCGTGGCGCTGAGTCCATCTCTGAAGCCCTCTTTGAAAAATTGCTCTCTTGTGTATCCCTGCACAGCAGTCCTCCTCTAGAAGTCATGCGGCCCCAAGAGTGGGCTCAGCCCCCCAGGCCAAGCTCCCAGTGCCCACCACTGTCTGACCTAAAGCTTTCATGGCAAGAGGATTGCTCAGACAAACCCCAGACTGTGGTCCCACCCTCACCTGCAGAGGTTTTCACCAGACCCCGACTCTTGATAACGAGATGGTTCTGCTGAGACATCCCCTTCAGGATGGGGAGTGTGGGCGTGTGTCAGCCTCTTGTTTCCACGTGTCTTCGTATGTGTCTCATCTCAGAGTAAAACGTGATTTGATCTTGTGAGTGGAAGTGGAAATTTTAAGCTGTAATTGGAGTTTGGGATTTTCAAAAATAGAAAGAGATAAGGAAGAGGTTGGGCTTGAGCTGTCAGAAGCTGTCCTCAGCTGGTGTTTTCCACATGGAAAATCTCCTTGATTTCCCTTCCTTCCCTTCAATTACATGATGATAACTTGAAACAAGCACCAAGTTGTTAGGTTTTTTTAAACAGAGGCTTCTTCCCTGCCACCCTTATCTACATATTCCTTTAGTAGGAAAAAGAGACTTTAAGAAATTTCAATTCCTGTAGCATTTGGCAAATTGATATAAATAATGGCTTACATATGCTTCAGAGCCCTTTCACATGCTTCCTTTCTTGTTCCTTCCAAAAGCCCTGTTAGGAAGGCAGGATAGTTTTGCAAATTATAATTTGCCTTTACTTCATAGATGAAGAAACAGAGTTCCTGAGTGTGCTGATTTGCTTAAGGTCAAACGTATTCTAGGGCTTCCCTGGTGGCGCAGTGGTTCAGAGTCCGCCTGCCGATGCAGGGGACACGGGTTCGTGCCCCGGCCCGGGAGGATCCCACATGCCGTGGAGCGGTTGGGCCCGTGAGCCATGGCTGCTGAGCCTGCGTGTCCGGAGCCTGTGCTCCGTAACGGGAGAGGCCACAGCAGTGAGAGGCCCGCGTACCACAAAAAAAACCAATAAACAAAAAACGTATTCTAGATGTCAGAACCAGAATGGGAACCCAGGTCCCTGGCCCCCCTCTTGCTCCCCCATCCCTCCCTCCAGGCTAACAGACACCCCACATTGTACTCCTCTGCTCTCCTGTCCACCACCTTCCCTAGACAGCAAGGTCTTATTCATCTTTGTACCATCCACAGTTCCTAAACCATAGTAGGTGCTCAGTGATGCTGGTGGATGCAATGAGTGAATGGTCGTCTCTAGAAGTTCTTTGGTTGCCCGTCTACAGTGTGGTTTTAATTATATGAGATGGTGGAGAAAGAAGAGACGTATGACTGGAGGGGTGATTGATGGCCATTGGCTCTCAGTGGGGCTTGGGCTTGGATTTGTGTCGGAGACGGGGAGGGCGTGTTGTTCTGGATCTGCCAGGAATTTCAGCAGCTGCCGTTTGAGCTTACCTCTGGACCTAGCCTTAAAGATAAAGCCACTGGGGCACACAGGTAGGGACCTGCAGTGGGTCTGGGCATCTTTATGGAGAGTCCATCCATCCCTGAGCCTGTGTGAGGAGAGGCCATCCTGCTCAGCTGTAATTGATCCACCTGCTTTGCCTCTAGCCATTGACAGTGGCCTCAGAGAGAGTTCATAGCTGCCCTCTTTTAGCCAATGCCAGCTGAACACCTGCTGCCCAGCCGGCTCTGGCCTGGGGCTGAGGGATACAGAAGTCCCTCAGGGAGGTTTGTGTCCTGTCTTCGAGGGGTCATGTCTAACATCTTCTGCAGCCCCCTCTTAAGTCTGGCTCCACATAGCACTTAGCCCCAAACATCCCTCTCTGCCTATCTGGCCTCCATGACTCTGAGCCAAGCAGCTGTCACAACCGAGTTGTGGAAGGACAGAAACCCTCAGAACTTACAGAAGAGTACCCCAGAGTCTGTCACAGCCCTGGAGGCAGAGGCCATGGGTGGCTTCTGGGGAAGCCTGTGGCCAAGGTAAGGAACCAGCATTTTATTTTGCCTTGTAGTTTCCAAATATTGAGGAAAGATTAAAAATAAACAGCATTGCAGTTTGGGGTCCCCAAGACCACCCTTGGCTTCAGTAATTCACTAGAAGGACTGAGAACTTAGCAAAGATGCTACACACGTGGTTACTGTTTATTACCGCAGAGGGATGTGGATTAAGATCAGCAGCGGGAAGAGGTGCATGGCGGGTGTTCCAGGCACGATCGTGCAGTTGTCCCCTCCCAGTGCTGGTGTGCGGGCAGCACTTGCTTCCCCCAGCCAGGATATGTGGCAACATGCACAGAGCATTGCCAAACAGGGGAGCCCACGCAAGCCTTGGTGTCCAGGGTTTTTACTGGAGGCCAGTCACGTAGATGTGGCTAATCACCACCATGGTTTCCATGCCCCTCCAGAGGTCAAGTTGAGTTGGCATCCCGTGACCCAAGGCCGTCACCACAAACCTCATCGTTAGCGTAGACTATCTGATGTAACCCCAAGGTCCCAGGTAAACAGACACTTTTATAGGCAGAACATGCCAAGGGCTTAGAAGTTACCTCTCAGGAGTTGAGCAAAGGGCTAAACGTATCTTTAGGTTAATCCTTTATGGCACAAGGGTTTTTACCTACAGTGAAGAGGTAGAGGCCCAAACTCAGCAGACAAAGGCAAAAACAGGACTTTGTCAGATGCACAGAAGAAGACCAGTCTCTGAACTTCTGAGAACATTTCAGAATTCAAGTCAGGAGAATGTCTTTGGGGTGTGTCTCTGTGGAGAGACTGGTGTGGGTGGTGGATGGCTGTGCGTGCATGCAGTGTGTAGACACACACGGACACGTGGTGACAGGGGCCCCAGAGCACTGTGGCAGCTGGGCAGGTGCTGTACAGGAAGCATCTGTGCACATCCCAGAGGGGGAAGCAATGCATTGAAAATGAGCATTTCCTTTCACGGGAGCCAGTTGGCTTCAGAGGCACCTTGTCACTGTTGAGATGAGTTATGTCTGGAGGCCAAGGGCCAGATTAAGTCTGTGGATGTCAAGGCGGGTGCTCGGTGAATCTGAGCTTAAAATTAGAAGACGGCCTTATTTATGGGAGAGATTGAATCAGGAAATTAAATGACTGCGAGAGAAACGGAAGTTCCTGCCCATGCTGACGGGGGGTGGTAGGTGCAAAGGATTGGAAAAGTGGTCCTGCCTTGTAGGCCCAGGCCTGTTGTCTCCTCCCAGCTGCTGGATTCCCATTCAGCCACGGAGTCTCCTGGTCACAGCTCAATTATCCTGCCCACGGGAGCCCAGTTTCCCCTCCTGCATACCAGTACGGGAGTGTTCATCCAGAATTAAGGAACATTTTAAAAGCATACGCAATGCCTTGATGGCCCCCAAGAACTGGTGAATTTGTCTTGCAGATTTTGAAACTATCCCCTGGATGACTTTGATGCTTATCAGCGGGGTGGCCTGGGGGGAGTAGCAAGCAATGAGGCTGGAAAGCTAGAAACAGGCCTGTTTTTGATGGTCTTGGATGCCAGGCTAAGGCGTTTGAACCTTATCTTCAAGGCAATTCAGGTTTTTAGCTGTTGAGCTACAGAGTGAGATTTGAAAGACAAGTCTGTCAGCCACCTGTAGAATGAAAGGGAAAAGGGGTGAGGTGAGGGTGGGGAGAGGAGCTGGGAGTCCACTGCCTCGTTCGCCAGGCTCGAGGGGACAAGGGAGAGTCAGCGTCCATTCAGAAAAGCAGTTTTAGAGTTACAGTCGGCAGGCTCCATCCAGTTGACGGGCAGAGGTGTAGCTTCTTAAGTTAGCGCTGGGGAGGAAGGGGGGATATGTTGACAGAAATAGGGAACCAAGGGAAGGAGCGTGTGTGGGGAGAGGATGGTGAAGGCACCGCTGGAAGGCCGTGTGCGTCCACCTGGAGGGGCCGGCGGTGTACTGGATCCACCCGAGTCTGGAAGTGAGGAGCAAAGTCAGGGCCGGAGGTACAGACTTGATTATCACAGGTGACAACTCAAGTTCGGAATCTCTGGAGATGCTACGCATCAACTTGCCCGTGAACCATAGGCATAGAAGGTAAGTGTTGGGAAATTCCCACTGTGGAGGTGTGGCTTTGCTTCTTGGAGCTGCAGGCTTGAGGCCACCTTGCTGGCTGACTGTGTCCTCTGCCTCCTGAGAGCCCCGTGGCACTGAAGGACTTCGGGGGTCCCCTTCTTCCTGATGTCCCTTTTCTCAGTGTGCAGCACGCTCCAGCCAGCCTCCCCGTGTCTCCACCATGACTATGTGGCCATGAGAAGGTGCCCGGGAGTAAAGGAAAGGCTCTTAGCATTGTAGGCATCATAACTGGAGAGGTTGCAGTGTCTGTTGGCCCATTTTATAGATGAGAACATTGAGATCCAGAGAGGAAAGTTCTCAGTCAAGGCCCTGAACCCAGTCTCCGGCCCTCCCAGGCCGAGGCCTTACCGAGCCCCGGCCTGGCTCCCTTATGCCGCCATCTGAGCGTTCAGGCCTTCTGTTTTACAGGACTACACGCGGGTGGTGTGCCCCGTGATCGATATCATCCACCTGGACACCTTCAACTACATCGAGTCGGCCGCGGAACTTAGAGGGGGTGAGTGGGGCTAACACCCTTGCCCAGTAAGGACTTTCTTTTTCTCCTAGTCGTTGCTGCCAAGGTGGAAAGTGAGAAAACTCTCCTAGTGGTTTGTCTGGAACCTCCAGCCCTGCATCCTGTAATGTCAATAGCTCCAGGGTGGCCCTCACCATGGGGACTGTGAATGGAAGGGCCGGGGAGGCAGCAGGTCACTCCCAGCCCCCTGAGCTCTAGCTCCAACACGGGGTCACTCCAGGGCCTGAGGATTCGAGGGAAGCAAGGGCCCCCCTCCAATGTGGGGCCTGAATTGTTCCAACATCTCAGTATCGGGTGCCTCCCTCTCTTCAAGGCCCACCACAGTTCTGCCCAGGGCTGAGTGCTGGCTCCTCAAGAGGGGTTTGGGGTGATTCAGCCCCTCACAGACCTCCTGCTTACACCCCCCCCCCACTCCCGAGACTCTTGGCCAAGGGCCACACTCCATAACTGTCCATCGTGTCCCCCTTAGGGCCCACTCTTGGGCTCTGTCAACTCCCACTCTTTATCCTGTGCCCTTTGTTCCCGAAGTCCACCCAGCAGAGAAGGCTCAGAGAGGCAGTAGCGGGGAGAGAAAGAAGGAAGCCGTGGAAGGGAAATCAGGCAGCTCTGTTGCCGACCAGCTTGGGTGAGACCTGTTATCCCTGGGACCACCTGGGAAACTGGGTACGTTCTTGAGCTTCTAGTAAAGGGACAGAATGAGCAAGGTCTGCAGGTACATCAGAGAGACCAAGTCAGCCATGCGGATGCTGTGTTTCAGGGTTTGACTGGAGCCTCCACTTCCAATGGGAGCAGCTCACACCAGAGCAGAAGGCTCGGCGCCTGGACCCCACTGAGCCCATTAGGTGAGTCAGGGCAAGGGTTAGGGGTGGGCAGATTCATAACCACTTGGCCCCTCCCTCTGTCACATGGTATAGAGAAGCAGTCCATGTGAGATGCTCACACGATCGGGCAGAAACCAAGAGGACCCTTTGCCAGGCCAGCACCGCCTTTGCCCTTATTTTAGGAGGTTTCCGTCCTCGTGGAGACTTCTGCTGAAGGGATGGGGGCCGGGGGAGACCTGTGCTGAGGACTTGCCCAGCGCTGTCCACCCACGCACATGCCATGTCAATATTTACGCTTCCAGCTAAACGTTGGAGGGTCCCAGATGGTCCCGTTTGAGCCTCTGACAAGGGAAGAGATGGTTCCTTAGCCCTCAGGTGCTGGATGTCAGGATTCAGCCCAGGTAGGTCGGGTCAGCCATTGCTGTAAGTGGAGGCTGCTGTCAAGGCATGGCCACTGCTATGTACGAACACACAGGACTGCTGTGTCCCACGTGAGAACACGACAGGGGCGTCAGCTCTGGGCTGCTTCTGCGGTGCTGCAGATGGCTTTGTCCTCATCTACATTCTCACTTCCAGACCCCATTGTGACCCACAGCACAGTGGCCAGATGGCCGCCTGGGGTTCAGGCCCATCTGAGGGCTCGGCGTAGAGTAGAGTACAGGGGTCCACCCAGCGGTGTCTTGCATCGTGTGTGTATGGCTTCAGTGTTCCCAAGACTGGAGGGTACACGTGTCCCAGGCCTGTTGGGAACCTCCAATCTAAAACTTTCCCGCCTCCAGTGGAACGTCAGAAGGCCAGCAAGCGCTTCAGGATGTGGAGAGAAGACCACGAGACGGGGATTGTTCCTGCCGGGGTTGCAGGGATGCTCTGGGCTCTTCAGGGGCACCTCTGCAGCTCGGGGCCTGCCACAGAGTAAATGTTTGATCATTTTCATTGAACTAACTTAAGTCAAACTGAGACTCAAAGGGCTGTGAAGAACTGAGTGGTGACACTCAGACAAACGGTGGGAATTGGGAGAACTTTGCAGTGGGACCTCTGTCGCATCGACCTGCCAGCCCCTCCTCCCTCCTCCCTCCTCCAGCTTTCATGATCTGGTGTGATGCCGAGAGGGAGCCAGATAGTGCCATTTGCTCCTAAAGGGAGAGCAGAACCTTCTCACCATCCTCAGGGCCATGCAGCACACACCAGTGCCTCGGTTACTTGCTGCCGGAAGTGTCTGATGTGGCAAGTGGACCAGGACAAAGTCGAGGACAAGGCGGTGATGGTGCCGCTGCCTCTGGGTTTCCCTTCTCTGTCCCAGGGGTAGGGTTTTTGAGGCAGGGTCTCTTCTTGTGGGAACATCTCTGCTCATCAGAGGACAAGTGTTTCCCAGAGGATAGTAGGGTGTCGTGGCATTGGGAGACCGAGCTTCTGACCTGCTCCCCATCAACTAACTATCTGACATAGAAGAAAACGCCCTTCACCCTCTGGACCCGCAGAATGAGGGGCCGGGTCCCGGAGGGCTTGCCAGCACCCCAGCCGAGCTGTTGATTCTTGCAGACGTGCGTCCTTGTGCTTATCGGGTTGCTTGGCTGGACTCTGCAGCCCTTTCCTTTCCAAGTGGCTTCTCTGGAATCTCTTTCAGTGGTCAAGGGGAGGGGAGCTTGGGAGAGGACCCCAAGGAAAGAGAATGAAGATGAGGGTGTGTTTGTTTACTAGGGCTACTGCAGCAGAGTACCACAGGCTGCGTGGCTTAAACCACAGAAACATACCGTCTTGAGCTCTGGAGGCTGGAAGTCCAAGACGGAGGTGTTGGCAGGGCTGCTTCCTTCTGAGGGCTATGCCGGACCCTCTCCTGGGCTTGCAGAGGGCCGTCTTCTCTCTGTGTCTCCTCACATTGTCTTCTCTTTGTGCATGTCTGTCTCTGCAACTACATGTCCCCTTTTATAAGACACCAGTCCTATTGGATTAGGACCCACACTAATAACCCCATTTTAACTTGATCACCTCTGTAAAGACCTTCTTTTTAAATAAGGTCACATTCTGAGGTACTCAGGGTTAGGACCTCGACATGTTTTTCGGGGGATATAACTCAATCTGTAGCAGAAGGAAAGAGAGGAAAAAAAAGAAGAGAGAGTCCAGTCTCAAGAAATGGATGTGCTGTTCACAGCTGCTGCCGCAGCCCGTCTTCTCTACCTGGTCAGTGGCCCATGGTCCCCGCTCCCTGTACTGGAGCTCCCAGGAGGGCCCCGCTGGGCAGGGCCTGTGGCAGAAGCCAGAGGGAGGCTCCCCAGGCCCTCCGAACAGCTGGGGTTCTGAGCAAATCCCGACTGCCCCACAGGACTTGTGCAGACGAGCATATTAGCCTGTCTGCAGGCTCAGGAGATTTACAGTCGAAGGGAAAAGGCCTGGAACATGTTCCTGTTTGAGGTAAGTGGACAATGTGGCCCCAAGATCAGGACCACCAGGACAGAGAACACCGCAGCAGCCCCGCTCCCGTGACTGACCCTCCTTCTTTTCCTTCCAAATGCACAGGACCCCAATCATAGCTGGAGGCCTCTTCGTGATGGACAAATCCTGGTTCGACTACCTGGGGAAATATGACATGGACATGGACATCTGGGGCGGGGAGAACTTCGGTGAGTCGCTGTCTCCGCATCCAGGGGCTAGGGTGCGGGTCTCCGTATCATTGGACCACGTGTACCTGGGATGAGGGCCAGGGAGATGGGGAGCAGGTCACTCCTTTGGGGGAACACCACATGGGGTGCCAGAAGAGTGGCTGCTGGGAGGGTGGAGGGAAGGAGGGGGATTATCCATGGGGCCACATGGATGCTGCAGACCAGGGAAACATACCCAGATGGACCATTAGGGGGAAGTTGAGATGCAAAAGCTGGAAAGACCAAAGGAGAAACACCGAGACTGAGGGCCAGAGGCAGGCTTGAGCTGGGAGTACTGAACATGGGAATTTGGAGTTGGAAGGAGACTGGGGATAAAAAGCATGAGGAGGAGGATGGACAGCAACACCATTAACATCTGGATCACATCTGTTGGCTGGTCTAGGCGTACAGCACTCAGCACTGGGTTAGTGAGGAGGGTCTGGGTGAATGCTGCAGAAGCCCCATCTTTTCGGCACAGGGAAAGCAGTGGGGGGGGGGGGGGGGGGGGGGGCCCGGGTT